GTATCTGAGACCTATAATATATTGATGAAAAACAGTATGATAGGGGACCTTTAAGGAACCCAGCTGTTGACGCTTGTTAAAGGTACCTGTGTGTCTCCATGTGCACAGGATGCTGTCGTGCTGCAGCCTCTCCCAGCTGCTGCTCTGTGAAGGCGTTGTTCAGGCGGTTGTGTGTGTGTCCAGGTCCAGAGTGGTAACCTCCTCACACTCAGCGTCTGGCTCCAGCCTGCAGGTGTTCACGCTCTCAGACAGCGGCAGGTAACACTCAGAGTTTGTCAAATGAAATCAAAGTTTATTTTTATAGCCCAATATCACAAAGCACGTTTGCCTCAGTGGGCTTTACAGATAACAAACATGAATGACAGTGCTAAAAGATCAAGACAATGACAAGATAGAATGTAAAATAAAAATACATGAGATAGAATACAACAGAAATACAATAACAAAATAGGATAAAATACCATCAAATGTAGGACTCAGGAGGACAAACATCGGATAATCCTTTTTTTTTTTTTTAGGAAAGTCTTCAGGACACTTAAATGTTTGGACACTGTCTGCTTTTGTGTTATTTCCTCATTGCTCAGATATATAATTGTTTCGTCTATCTCTCTCTCTCTCCCTCCTTCTCTCTCTCTCTCTCTCTCTCCCTACCTCTCTATCTCTATCTCTCTTTCTTTCTCTCTCTCTCTCTCTCTCTCTCCCTCCCTCCTCCCTCCCTCTCTCTCTCTCTCTCTCTCTCTCTCTCTCTCTCTCTCTCAGCACACCGGGCCCTCAGCCTCTGGTGTCTCCTGGTGTTTGTGTCGGGGCCCTCGCTGCAGTGGCTGGACTTCCTGACGCTCTGATTGGCTCTGATGAGAGCGGCCGCCTCTTTATCTGGTAAGCAATAAACTCAACAAAATTATTCTTCCTGTTGAACAATGGAGCAAAAACATTTGGCATCTTATTTGACATTAAAATAGGAATTTCTCATATATACACTAAAATTAACTGCACTGCACTCGCTTGCTCAAAACTGTTTCAGCAAAGGTCCTTTTTGAAATATTTGAGTAAGGTATGCAATACAAATGTTGATCATGGTATTACATCATTTTGTTTTTATTTCAAAAAGGACAGAGCACTGTAGAGGTGTGTTTTAATGCTCTTCTTACATTTCTCTTAATGTACTCATACAGGAAAAGAAAAACAAGCTAACAGCACTATTAGTACCCAAGTATTTGGTAAAAATGCAATTTTTTACATAAAGTATATGAATAAATAGAAAAATAAATATTGACTCAAACATTTTTTAAATGTATTTATTGACGAGTCAAAATGCTATAAATGGTTAGAATAATATTTATATTTGGCTCTCATGTGTAATGTTGCTGCTGTTCGCAGTTTAATTTATTTATGTTTCCGTGTTACAGGAACTTAAAGACGGGCCAGCTGCTGCAGAGAATCATCCTCGGAGAAGATTTATCACACATGGCCTGTCTCAGAGGATACTCCTACTGTGTACGTCTATCTGCTTTGCATATTAAGGGATGCTGCCTGTTTTCTTTAAAGGGGACCTATCATGCAAAATGCACTTTTTGATGTCTTTTATACATAAACATGTGTCCCCGGTGTGTCGGGGAACTCACGCAGCGTCAGAAAACAAAACCCTCTCTCTTTTCCTCCGTACCCAAATCTCTAAACACGGGGCTACAACGGAGCTGATCCAGATTTGCGTCCGATATGACGTAATATCTGAAATGTGGACCCACGGCCCAATCAGAAACGTTGCTATCAGAAACAATGCCCGACTGTTTTGGACGTAATATGGTCGGTGTTTACATTAGCATCGCTAACACTCAGAGCTAACCTGTACTGGAGAGCATGTGTGTGAAGAAGCAGGAAATACAAAGGAACTCACCTTGTGGTATAACCGGCAAGAGAGAAAGCCTTTGAGCTCCATACTGTTTCAGAAACAGTCCTTGATAATCCATGATATGGCGTTTCATCACGGCAGTATTTAGTTTAGACAGTAGCTGCCGGGTCCCGCATGAACTCAGCCCCCTCCTTTTTTTTTTTGTATCAAATGTATTTTTTTTTAAAGTTTAATACCCCAAATCAGCACTTTTGAAACAGGAAGTGGAATAGAGGGATATGAGGCATGGCTAGAATGGGTGATCTGTTCATGACATGTTTTTTATATATTTGTATATATCTGAGACCTATGCTATTGCCTACAAATAGCATGACAGGTGACCTTTAAATGACCTTTCTCACTCTTCAGAGGGTTTAACATGCTTTGTGTGTTTGTGTGGCTGCACAGGGAGTGTTGTTTGTCCTGCTGCAGCATCAGTTGCTCAGCTCCCTGGAGGAAGAAGTAAAAGAGAAGGATGAGGAGAGTAAGAAAATGGCTCTGTTCTCCTTGGTCGCCATTAACCCTATGAGTGGAAAATCTACCCTCGCTACTCGACTGTATCCGCCCAACGCCTGGTCCGGCAGGTGAGAGGAGGACTGATGTGTTTGTGTGTCTCTTTATATATACACACTTGTGTTTATACACTCTTAATAGGGCACTGGCACTGTAGAACAAACTGCCTGAAGAAATACAAAATGTGTTTACTTTTTTCAAACACACTTTAATAGACTAGCTTTTAAGTCTATGCACCCTATCCAGTAAAGTCTTGATGTGTTCTGAATTGCATATTTTGTATGTGTTTAGTTGGATCTGTTTTCCTCCTGTATGACCTTTTGATTAGTTCTGCCTTTGCATTTCTACAGCAATGTTCTCAAAAAGTGCCAAACAAATAAAGGTTATTATGATTATTTGATGTAACAATCTGTATCTGCGTGTGTGTTCCTCAGGTTGTGTGAAGCAGACGTTAGCGGCTCCAGCGTGGTGGGCCTGAGTCAGAGCGGCTGTGTGTGTGTGTGGCAGCTCTGGCCCCGGGGGCCCTCCTGGATGGTGCCGGCCCCCGAGAGCGAGGGCTGGCAGCTGGCTCGATGGGGGGGAGAGGGAACGCTGCTGACGGGACATCACAACGGAGACGTCACCCTGCACTGCTACAGTCAGACTTCTCTCTGCCACCAAGAAGACTTTCTGAAGATCTGATCACTTTTATCCCAAAACAATGTCCGCCCATCGCTGTGTGAATGTTTACATGAAGATTTTAACCTTTTAAAATACTTCAAAATCACATTCGGTTCTGTGGCGTCTCGTAATCCCTGTTATTTTGATGATTTTCAGGTTCATGTTTGTATTTTGTGGCTCTACTGTGACACGCTGTTTGCATGCTTAAATGTTCAATGCTCAAAAACCTACACACTACGGGGGAGGGAAAACCCCCAGAAAGCATAATAAAGTAGTCTGCTAAGATTTGGTAAACGGAACATATTCAACAACTCATTGAACTGCTGGTACTCAGAAAACAAGACTGAATTATTGAAGGTGTAGTCCTTCCTATTTGTTTTCCTTCATCCTTTCTACACTGTTAGTGTTCATAGAGCCCCAGTATCACACACTGAACCTCTCTGTGAGAGGGTTTTTCATGTTTTAGACCACTGTAACCCTAAAACCAACTTTGTGTTTTATTACTGCTGCTGCTATGAATGTTCCTTACTGTTGTCACTTGAATATGTTGGTGCATGTCTTCTTGTATTTAAAAGAAAGAAAAGTGTTGCCAAAGTTTGTTCTTATCATTTTCAGTAAACCTTAAATATGTTGTATTTTTGTCTCCTTTTTGTATTTCTATAGTTTATTCTATTGCCCTAACAACAAACGCTTAAAACACAATGTTTGAATAACAGCGCTATTTTTACAATTATCAATACTAAGATAACTTGTACTAAAATATTATATTTGTAATTGGGGTCATGTAGTTATGATCTCACCCTGAGACATACATGGTGTGTTTTTGTTGCTTTATTTAATTTTGAATGTTAAGAACCAACTGGGAAGTAAAATATTTGAGAAATGTCTGTAACCTAAATAGCAGTTTGTCAAATCCTAAAAAGAACCTAAGCTGTTTGGAGATCTGTGTCCGCCAGGGGGCGCCAGACTGATTTACTACATGGTTCATTTGGCACTGACTGTTTTCAGACTGCTTTTTAAAATGCCTACCAAGACAAACAGTTTAAATCTTCCCCGGCTCCAAAGTCAAACTGAGGTTGTTCATGTTGGGTTTGTAATAACTACTGGGGTGTATCGGGGGCCACTTGCAAAAATGATAATTCATATAGTGCATAGGCTGTTTCCTGTGAAAAAACATGTTTAGATGTACAGGCAGGTAGGCCATCCAGTTACTTTAGCCGGGCCGGCTCAGATGATAGGTCGTGCTTTTTACAGCCCCACGGCTTCCACAGATGACATTATGTATTCATTGCCATCGGGATGTTAAGAGCATCCCATGGAATATAACAAAAAGTGTTTCTGAAGTGAATTACCTACCCCACCACCTAGATTTTCCAGAGATTTAACAGAAGTGTAGATAGTTCAAATTTGCATTTAAAAAGAAAAATAACTTTTCTGGTCAAGCATTGTCAAGAATCAAATACAGTAGTTTTTGCACTGCCAAATTCTAATATCTTATAAGCAGCACATGAAACACTCCAGTAATTTGTCAAGTTAAAGATAATCTTTATTTAAACTGGGTAAAATCAAGCCATCTTTACAACAGGTATGCATATTCAGAAGTATATGTACAAGTTTGCACGTTGTGTTGATCTAACATAGACTTATAAAAGAGTAAAATGTAGCTACAGGAAGAATATGCATGATGAAGAAATATTGACATGGTCCATTCCTCTACATATAAAAACATACAAAAGTAGAGAAGCAGACCTGAGAAGCTTTTTCCATCCGAGCCTCAACCCACACCAAGCGATTTAAAAAACACGACGCAACAAACGATCAAACAAGCAGAGAAATCTGGGAGCAATGTCTCACTATCAAAATCCACCTGTCCCTTTAAGGCTTATTTGAATGCACGGGTTTAATTTATATGCAGCCATCTTTGATTTACAGTCAGCAGGGTGTGTTGGTCAAGATTAAGCTTCATCAAGAGTTTCCTTTAAACAGCAGGAAATAAAAGTGGTTGAGGGACCAAAATTCAACAATGTACAACATATAAGATAAATGTTCAATGTATAGCCTGAAAAGTGAATAAAATACATGAGGATTTAAAAGTCTGTTTCTGATTAGAGACAGACGGTGATTAAAGGCGTGTCTATTGTGCAGCGGGGGGAGGCTTGCTGTCCAGCAGCTTCTCCACCATTAGCTTAGCGTAGCGCAGGCGGCTGGCCAGCTCCTTGGTGCAGCCGAACTCTTCGAGCAGCGACAGCTTGTACGTGCGGAACTCGCGCTTCTCGTCGATGTAGGTGACCGCGTTCATGAACGGACACAGGATCAGCTTGGTGTGGTCCTGGTGGAACAGGGGGGTGGGGGTTGGGGGGAGAGGAACATAAGTTCAGAACCGAGTCGCAACTTATGATTATACATCGATATCTGCCCATTATCTTTTAAATTATATCGGCCATCGATACAAACATTTCTCAGATTCTCAATGAGACGTCTTTAAAAAAGGTCTTGTTTTGTAAAAAACAAAGATAACAATTTTCATGTCCAATATGAAACCGAAGAAACGTCTATATCTGAGGCAAACAGCTGCATTTACTTTAAATATGATCTTAAATATACTAATATTGTTTGTGTGATTTTCTGGTTTTAAATGCTGGAATCCAGTAAACATTTCCTGATTTTTCTAACAATCCATCGTTGCCTTTACCTGATTAATAATTAAATCCACATTACTGATGACTATTAATCAAAATTATCATTGAGTTAATATTTTGGGAAAGATAGTCTACCCTACAATAGCGGCAAAAAAACGTCAAGCTATGTGGTGAAAAACATAATGCCATATACGAGTACTAAACATCGAACACTAGTGATCCATGAATAGTTGAAACTCTATATTAGAATCTGTGGGCTAAACAAAATAAGCTAATGTTTAAGAGACACCGGTGGGAGGAGATGTTGTGCGTCTCACCAGGAAGAAGTTGATCTGAACGGTGCCGTTGGTGAGGTGCAGCACGATGGCGCTCTTGGTCCTGAACCAAAGGGAAAGGTAGGGCAGGCGCGCCAACTCGTCTCCGTCCCGCCGGGCCATGTTGGCGCCGGCCTTCAGCAGGTGCTCGCTCATGTAGTTACGAAAATATTTCAGCAACGTTATCTAGCAGGGGGAAGGATGACAAGTTTGTAAGAAAAATGATACGTAACGTAAGTCTACCTGAAAAGTGTAGCCTATTAATAACTGTCAAATAAATAAATACATAAAACACTTCATCCTAAAATATACTGGAGAAACAGTTCAAAGTACCAGCAGAAAATGGAAATAGTCTAAATTGTTTTGTGGAGCCCTCACCTTCTTGTTGAGAGCCGGGGGGAATGAGCGCGCGCTCAGGTAGGACTCTGTGGCCGTCTTGTCGATGTACTGCAGGCTGTCTCCGTCGGTGTACATCATGAGCCGCGTGTAGTCGTTGAACAGCACCCCCACACTGTTGTCGCAGAGCTGGTAGCCTGGAATACACATAAAAAAAAACGTTATAATGAAACCCGTTATAAAACATTTGCCAAATGACAACCTAAAAATAAAACATGTCAGCCCTATCTAGGGGAAAACTACACATCCTCAACACCATTTGAAACCTACTTAAAAACAAATCTAATTGGGCATTTCTCTGCAGCCATGTCTTGTTACTTGGAGACATTTAACAAAATATATGATGGCCTCATGTTTCTGAAGCAGTTTCAGGGCCCTGGTGTTGTCCACTCTGGCACACCGTCTTTCACCAACTTGTGTTTTCTTGTGTCATACAGGGATTTCAACTTTATTTTGTTTTGCAAAAAATGACTGCAGAGTTTAATAACCTTGCTTTCCGTGATACGTCAATGAATCAAAGAGTTAGTGTTATCAGTTACACTTGAGCTTTTCTTGCTGGGAAAAAGGTCTATTTGCTCAAAATAACTGGCTGGGTCCGAATTGTGACACCTGAAGCACCCAGAACAAACGGCCTTATATGAGCTGTGAAGGACACAGCAAATGTTTTGAATGTTGCTTTAAAGATATGATAGATTTTGGATATCGTCAATGGGAAAAGAGTTGTGCTTTCCTAGTTTTTAAGGGTCAACCAGACAACAATTGTAGCATATAATCTTTTTTGTAAAAGCAAGTTTTAAGGAGTATTTAGTCTAAAAAATATTCTGGCATTCGATTTTCTCAAATGCTACCAACCAGAGGATTTAGAAAATGTTTAATTTGGCTGCTAGATGGATGTAGAGTCAGAGTTGAATTCTTACCTAATCCATATTTGTCAGAGTAGTCGACCCATTTGCTGATCCAGAAGATGGGAATGCATGCGGGATCCTCTGCCTCTTCTGGAAACACAAAAACAGAACAAAACCTTTGTAAGTAAAGTTCACAGTGGCACAAAAAATATCCAAACTTTTGAAATGTGCAAAATTGAATCTTATTAGAAAAATGGTTCGAGTCTGCACTCGCCTTGGCAGATGACTGCCTTCTCAGAGGGCTTAGAAGCGATGATGGTGTTGAGCTGCTGCAGCATCTCTTTAATGTGGCACTCTGCCGGCTCAGGCTCCCTACACAGAAAACACAATGGTTACACATACACAAAGATGACTTTTGTAAAATAATGTGACACAAATTCATTCTAAATTGTGACACGCTGGCTTTCTCTACACTGTAGACACTTCCATTCAGGTTATTTATTTGTATCCGTAGGGAGATATGGTTTGCAGATAAAAAGGGATCCATATGACGCACATTCTTTAACAACGCAACAGAGAACAACAAAAAGTACCCCAGCTCCGCCACATCTAAAAACCACTAGTAAAACAGGAGGAATCCACAAAGTTAACATTTCAAACATCTCTCACCTTTGCATATGCTCTTCCTTCATACCCACGTTCTCTGTCCCTCCTAGAAAAGGAGAGAAAACAACGTCATGAACTCTATATCCAACCGATACATTTCAGAATAAATGTAATAATATAACTTCTGCACAGAGTTAGATGTCATTTTCTGCTGGGCTTGTTACCTTGGTTGTTGATAGCAGTCAGTGGGCGTCTCTGGCTGAGCTCTGTGGTGGTGTTGGGGGCGATGGAGAAGCGGGGGGGAACCGTGAGGCACGTGGTGGGCAGACGTACGGGGATGTAGCCGGTGGTGAAGTACTCGTCCACTTCCAGCTCAGCGATGGTCGGCCTCTGGGAGGGTTCGGCATGCAGCATGCGCTTTATGAGGTTGGAAGCCAACGGGTTGATGTGCTGTGGAAAGAGATGGGAATGCAGGTTATTAGATTAGATCAAACCAAACATGTGTAAAAACGATATGTTGAAGGAATATTGAGTGTTACTTTAGCAGAACTTACCCAGGGGATGGTGTAGTTGTTCTTCTTGATGCGGTTGTAGGTCTCCTTTAGACAGGAGGTCTCAAATGGGGGTTTACCCACCAACAGAGTGTACCTGAGAGGATACAGACAGTGGGGAGGTTAATCTGACTGAATCTTTAGCTCAAGTGACTTTCTGTCTTATATTCAGTCAAACTGTGACTTACAAAATGCACCCAAGCGACCAGATGTCCACTTCATAGCTGTGGCCTTTCTTACAAAGCACTTCAGGGGCA